GTTTTTGAAAAAAACAAAACAAAACCCAAGAAAGTCCAGTTGCCTTTTGGAAAAGCATTTTGGGGACAACCATGACCTGGATGATTGACAGTCTCCATAGATATAATATGGTTTCCTTGTCTTTGCCTTGTTCTATATACAAACCAAGGCTTATGGTTTATAAAACTGGCCTAACACTGTACAAACCTTGGCCACTATGGCTTATTCTACACACTACACACACTGACACACTCATGTGTTATAGTGAAAACATGTGTTCTTTCCCCACCTTGGATCAATATACAAGTATTTCAATTAAGAGAGTTTGACTTATATTGAACAGTAATGTACTTACTAAACTGACACCTTTCATTTCTGCTTATATAAGCACTCAAGTTGGCTAGCAAGAGTAGTGTAATAAAGCTTACAGAAGGACACTTTTTGAGACCACAAGACAGAATACATATACACTGTATATGCCCAACCTCTAACCAACCTGAATAAAATCTAGCAGATGAATTTGAGCAGCAGGTACTAGGTTGATATGTGTTAACTTTGATCGAGCTTTGGGACAGTTGTTTTCCATTTTGTGGCAAGATATTGTGTGATCCAGCCTGTTAGGCTAATTTATGGCTCAGCTGTGCAAATCCAGAAAAGCATTTAATTAAGTAGCTAGGTAAAATATGTTTCAGGAATGTAGTCATATCGAACAAGCTCTCTCCTCAATTTGCCTGCTTTGCAGACAAGGAATTCCCAATCCTAGTCTTTTCCCCTTCCACATAAATCTGCTTACCTAGTATGGCCAATAGCTAGGATGGATTTATAGTCCATCCCAGCCAAAGGCCACTAGCAAGAGGTAATTAGACAAAAGGCAGAGGTCTCCTAAAGGAGTAGTATTGCTGGTAAGCTTTATTGGCAGATTGCCTGGATGTACCCAACCTGCTAATAATTTAGTTGTGTTGAAGTTTTGAAAAGATGCCATTGGTGAGGTTTGAAAAAGAGTTAAAGGCGTTTCAGAATACTCAATATAAAACCTACTAAACCAGAGGTCTTCAAACTTGGCCCTTTTATGACTTGTGGACTTCAACTCCCAGAATTCCTCAGCCAGTATGCCTGGCTGAGGAATTCTGAGAGTTGAAGTCCACAAGTCACAAAAGGGCCAAGTTTGAAGACCCCTGTATTAAACCTATTGTGGATTGGCTACTCTGTAAGAAGCGAGTAAGCCACAAAAAGCAGTATGAAACAAAGCATATATTAGCCGTTGACTAAATCCTTATATATTCCAGGAAAAATTGTGCTATGTACCACATAATCTCTACTCCCACTGTACATTTATAAATAGGAAGTATCACTCATGAATAGGTGGGCATGTCCTTTTCTTTGCCATACAATTATCCCAGCATGTCAATGAAGAACTAATGCAATTTTCTATCCTAGAGGAAGTCATTCTGACTCTGAAGGTTAGGTGTAACCTCATTTTAACAGTACTATAGGTAGTCCCTGCTTAATGACTATAATTGAGATCAGAGCGAAGGGGTCATTAAGCAAGATGCCATGGGACCATTTCACTTAATAACCACACTCAGCATTGCTAGTTGTGCTTGTAAAACAATCTGGTGGATTATTGTGGGAATCCCAAGTAAGGAATGTGGATACCTCAGGGGATTGGAGGAGCCCCAGCACAGGCCATACCTGAGTGTCTCTCAGGAGTTGAAAATCCTCTCTGCCAAAATCCAAGCAGGGTTTTCAGCCCCTGAGAAAGAGACACCTGCCTTTGCCCTATGCTGGGTCTTTATCACCCTCACACAGCTTGCTATACTTTATTATGCTGCCACTCCGCCCAGAAGCTGAAAATCCTCCTTGCTGAAATCCAAGCAGGATTTTCAGTCCCTAAACAGGGAGACATCACATGGGTCTGCCCTGGGCCTCCCATGCCTCGAGGCACCCTGTACTCTTACCTTGCCTTATTTACTCTTACCTTACTCTTTCCTTACCACATTGCCTCTCTGCTCTGTGGATTGCAAATCTTCTGTGGCTGAAAATCTTGCTTGGATTTTGGGACATACCTTTTCAGTTAGAGGGAGGAAGTCCTCTCAGCTGTTGGCATTGGCTGGCAATCACATGATGACAGGGCACTTGGCAATCAGCCATAAATGTGAATGGGTTGTCAGATGCCCAGATTCCAATCACATGACCATGGGGTGCTGCAATGGCCATAACTTTGAGCATGGGTTGGAAATTCCTTTGTTCAACACCTTCATAATTTTGGCTGTCGAATGATCATTAAATGAGGACTACCTGGAGCACTGACTTTAAGACGGCCTTTGGGCTGCAGACTTCATGCTAAAATATTTTTTTTCCCTTGTAGTGTCTCATCCTATTTTTAACACCTTACCTAAAGAAAAATTCAGCAAATTCACATGGCCTTTTGTGATGTCCTAAAAAATTATTAACTACAGTAAAAAGATTTCTCATTATTTGTGCAGAATTTTAAGTTCAAAAGATTTATAGTTTAAGACTGTAAATAAAGCAGGCTGTAATTACATGTAGACACATGAAATGAAAAAAATTTCCAGTACTTTTCAGTTTTATTTAGTATCTTCTTGTTGAACCTAGGCAGCTTACACGCTATTATGCTCTTTTGAGTTGATTTAATAATGTATTGGCCTGATATGGATTAAAGAGGATTTAAATTAACAATCTAATGTTACTTGACTCCTATAATGGGAATTACAGTCTGAACTAGTTGTTTAGTCAGTGTCTTTCACTGGACAATCATTTTTTTAATGTTTTAGAAATCAGTTTTAAACAAAACTTATACATTCTCCATCACTTAACCATACTCTTCTATATGCCTCAAAGATTGTCATTTTTGATGATGTAGTAGCTGAAAGTTTTTCTTTGTACCCATATATTGCAATACTTGTTTGAGATACAAAGACAGAAGACTGAGCAGTTGTGCAGAATGACTGTCACATGTTACAACTGGAGTGTCACACCCTTTTACAAAAAGTTGCAATTTGTGGAGAACTCATACATTTGGCTCATGAGAACATTCAATACTGCTAATAAAATGCCACTTGTAAGTCCTATGCTACAGCTACAGTCTTTCTCATATTACATATATATATATATACACACAATTATTATTCACATGAATTAAAGCAATAGCTAAACTCTTAAATATTGTTATGTGGCAACTGCTAGCATTCTAATTCCCTTGAAACTGAGCTATGAGTAGAAGGGGCCTAGCTAGATCACGGGGAAGCAATATCTCACTATTTGCTTGCAAAATCTGATGAATGATTTTGCAAGCAATTTGGAAACCATACCAAATTTTCTAGAGCAATACCATAATATCCAAACACATCTTTAACCAAGGATTTTCACAGATGTAAAAAAAAAAAAAAAGGAAAATAGTGCCATTTTTATATTTCTCAAAAGTTTATTTCCTACCTTTAGGATACATTACTTAATAGTTTTATTAAATAGATTTTTAAACTTCAAAAATTAAACCTCAGTTGAGAAGATGAATTGTAAAAGGCTGCAAAATATTTGTTGCATGCTGGCTGGGGAATTCTGGAAGTTGCAATTCCTCACATCTTAAAATTGTCAAGATTGAGAAACACTGGTTTAGCCACTCCACTTATATGATGAAGTGATCCGTAGTTCACAAAAGCACATGCCTTTTATAAAATACAGTATTCTAAAAAGCTAATATCTAGCTGTAATCCCTTCATTGTCACTCAGATACAGGCCCCAAACAATTTAGTTACACCCAGTTTCAGAGGCAAGATTAGAGTCTAGAGTATGTCTTGCATTTAGCTGCTCTGTAAAAAATGGTTTAAAGGGAGAATTTGATAAATATCTAAGAGAAAAGTAATTTGACTTATCCATAAAATCACACAAAACAGAACAATATAAAACTTCATACCCAAGTTTTCTGCCATTTACCACTTCCAGAACTTTAAACAATGAAAAAACCAAGTGGGAAAAAAAGTACCAGGAGAGCAAATGTCATAAATCTCACAATTGCGTTAAAGATATTTTACTATTTTCAAGTGACCACCAGTAAAACACACAGAGAAATCTTCTCCAGTTCTTCTTCAGACTATCTGGAAAATTATAAATGCAACCCCAAAATATGAGTGCTCCCCTAACCCATGCCATAGCTGTCAACATCAAACAGGTGAAGCTTTCTCAGCATCAGCATAAAAAAAAAGTTTTAATCTTTTGAAAAGCTACTATCAAGCAGCTGCTCAGAAAACACTTGGCCAGAGGAGAGGAGGGTTGTTTAAAGCTGGAAATGTAACAAAAACCCATCTTTAAAATTTGTGTAGAGGTTTATTAACCTCTGGTATTTTTCCTGAATGAATATCCCTTCTTCATAGAACAAAAATAAGTGGATACTTATTCATGTATTCTTATACTTATTTATGTATTCCAGGGTACATATGCGCTGCAAATCTACACAACATCAAAGCTACTAGTAAGTACATCCAAAACAAATAAGATTCTTCCAAGTTGGAGCAAATATACTCCCAGAATCATCAACAAGATCTCCCCACTCCTCCCAGGAGCTCAGAATGGTACAATTCAACCTAGCACATTTATCCTCATACCTCCCTCTTGAGCTATATAAAGCCTAAAGGAGAAAAAAGAGAAGGATTTTAGAAGTTGAGTAGGCACCTGAACTCGAAGTCTCCCCCAGTTCGTTTGCACTCTGCCCCATTTGCCTTTATCTTATTGAAAGCCAGTTGCAACTTGCTCATGCGTCTAAGGCAGTGTTTCTCAACCTTGACAATGTTAAGGCATGTGGACTTCAACTCCCAGAATTCCACAGCCAGCATTGCTGGCTGTGGAATTCTGGGAGTTGAAGTCCACATGCCTTAAAATTGTCAAGGTTGATAAACACTGGTCTAAGAACATGCAAAGCAAGGGGATTTCCCCCTCCAGCTGAGGCAATCCAGTCGGGCCGGATGGGCCATTTCCCAGCCCAAACTTCTCGTCCCCCCTCTCACCTGCGATGTCCCAGAGCTGCAACCTGACCAGAGTCCTGCTATCCCAGTTGAGGACTTTGAGAGCGAAATCCACCCCGATGGTAGCCCGGTAGTGCTGGGAGAAGAGCTGGTGGACGTAGCGCTTGATGATGCTTGTTTTGCCGACACCCAGCTCCCCGATGACTAAAACCTTAAAGAGATGTTCCCGACTCTCAGGTACTCCGGACCCGCCTCCCCCTCCTCTCTCTACTCCAGCCATTCCGGCTTCGCCACTCGCCGCCCTCCACGCTCCTCGATCTGCGCTCGTGCGAAAACCCAGCCCGGCGGGAGCAAAGGAAGGAAGGAAGACGGGGAGCGCTTCCTCACGTGCTCCGGGACCTTTCTTTGTCCAATCCCGCTTCTTTGGCGGGAAGATATACGTCCCGACCGTCGGCAGGCACAGGGGGGGGAGAAAAGAAGGCGGGAACCACCTGACTGGAGTCACAGGACACGGAAACCCGGCGGAGTTATAAAACTTGTGAAAGGGGCGGAGGCCAGCGCCGCCGTTCGCTCCCCGTCGGAGGAGCTTCTTCGCTAGGGAGGAAACTTACGCCAAAAAAATAAAAGTGCATTTCGCTCGGAGGCTTTTATTTTGAAAGGAAAGCAGCTGGGGAGGAGGGGAGAGCCGCGTTTTCCGCGCGGAGATACATCAAGCCAAGCGGGGGAAAGGCGTAGCCGGCCCGTCGCGGATGCTCTCTGTAGCGCTGCAAGTGGGAAGGGTGGCGCAAAAGACGGCTGGAGAAAAACAAAAGGAGAGCGGTTCTCTACAGTGTTTCTCAACCTTGACAATTTTAAGGCATGTGGACTTCAACTCCCAGAATTCCACAGCCAGCGATGCTGGCTGTGGAATTCTGGGAGTTGAAGTCCACATGCCTTAAAATTGTGCAAGGTTGAGAAACACTGCGTAGCTCAGTTACTATGATACTACAGAGGGATCGGCCCGCGTTAAGAAACGCGCCTTTTGCATGGTCCTAGTTTTAATTGTCACATCCTCCCGTTTACCACCACCCCCCAAGCCTTTGATGGGCACTGTGCAAAAATCACACACCTCTCCCCGTGGCTTAGAAGGAGACGCTGCGCCGCTGCTGCTGGTGCTTCCGCGAATAGTAAGAGCAATGAGCAGGCAAGGGCTTCGGCGTGTGCTCTTCGTCCAGGAAATACTACGGGTTTAGTGCACGTTCCCTAGCTGTCCACAAGCATCGCAGCCTTCTCATCCTTGCATTTTTGCACCAGGTGGTAAAGCTGCTTCTGTTACGAAGCTGTTGAGGATCTACAGGAGACGCCTTTCTGAAGATGCTCTTTGCCGAACAAATAAAAGGCCATCTGCTATTGTTTAGCTGGCATTCCCTCTGCTTGTGGGAGTAACCAAGACGGTCGTTCTAGTGTCATCCATTTAATTTATTAACCAATACTCTCAATTCTTCCTTCCCCTCCGTTGGGCTTAAATTCAAGTGCAATGTAACTCATCTGGTGCAGTTCCTTTCCCCTGTGTTCTGATTCTCCCTTTCTCTTCTTGCATTCTTGCCAGATGGCATTGTTGTGCTCTCTCTGGGAAATGTGTGTTTGGAATGCATGTATTCTGAGCCTATGCTTGGATCATATGTGTAAGTGTTGGGCTGAATACAGGCTGCCTGAACTTGGCTTTCAAGAAGAGATTGGACAACCATTTATCTGGAATGGTAGGGGGATCTCCTGCTTGAACAGGTGGTTGGACTAGAACAGAGGTCCCCAACCTGTTGGGCATCAGGTACCGCTTCCATGGAGAGAGGTTTTTCCGCGGACCGGAGGGTGCATGGTTTTGTGTGCTGTCTGCATCTCCCCGGTGGGGCTTTGCTTGTTTGTGCAGACTGATTGCTGGCATGCCGTGGTCCAGTACTGGTCCACAGACCGGGGATTGTGGACCACTGGACTAGAAGACCTCCAAGGCCCCCTCCAACAATTATTCTGTGTTCTGGGATGGTTCTGGGTATGGGGCTAGTCTGTTCATGGAATGTTTTGTACATTCCTAAAAAGAAAGATATAAGTACAGGTAGTCCTCGAATTACAATCTGTCACTTACCAACAATTTGAAGTTACGGCGGGCCTCCCCAAAAGGTACTTACGATCCAAATACAAAGTTCTTATGGTTGCTTCTCCCTCCAAGATTACGTGACTGCCTTTTGGGTGCTCGGCAATTGGCTGCATTTATGGCCATTTGCAGTGTCCTGCGGTCATATGACCACAATTTTTGATGTTTTTTGCTGGAAACCTGTATTCTGACAAAATATTCATAGTGAGCAATGGGTTTACTTAACTTTGGCAAACAATTGTGTTAGTTTTCCAACTGCTGTAAAAAGAAGGTTGTAAAATTCAGTGCGGTGACATGATAGCCCATTTAATGACTGTCATGACTTTCAACTGTAATTGCAAGCTCAATTACAGTGGTATGTGGAGGAGTATCTGTGAAATTTTCCGGTTTGCGTTGTGGTGGAACTGGACGCAGAAAAGCAGGGCTCTGCCTTCCATGCCCGATGAAGAAGGAGAGGTGCCTGATCAAACACAGAGAGATGGCGGTCTTTCCATTTGATTTGAAAAAAACTCTCCAAACCGGCAGGGGAAAGACCGGCTACATTCCTGTGGCTGGCCATTAGCTGCTGACAACTGAAGGGGAAAAAAGCACCAATTAATACATTGTAAATAGCATGTTTGGAACTGGGTGAGAATATTGATCCTTTCTTTACTATTTTACAACTGATTTTCCTGGGAAAGGCTCCCCAAAAGCTAAAAAACTCTGAATGTAAGTGGAAGCAGCGTTTTAATTTTACGGGGGATAGAAACATACAATACTGAAGTGGAAGTAATATAAAGCTACAGCTTTGATAAATTTGAGAACTGAGATAACTGTTAAGATTTTCTCTTTGAAAAAAAACATTGAGGCGAAATATAAGAAATCAATCCTTTGTTTTAAGAGTGGAAAATGGACTTGGAATGACATCTAGTGGTGGATTTGTGTATAGCGCTATAATTTGTTTCCTGGCTGCTTGGATGATTCCTAGCTTGGGAGAACAGCTGGCAATAAAGGAAAATATTTTGGCATACTTATCATCCTGACCTTGGATTATAAATACCTACTGAGCTTGGGCTTTTAACTTCAAGAGATAGTGGGAGAGAAAGACAAATTTGACCTTGGACTACACCAGACTGGGAGAGACTTTTGAGCTGTTTTCTGAGAGGTTGAACATTATGAACAATTCAAACATTGTGGATTACAACCTTGCTGGATTGACAATTTTTGGATACTTGAGACAATCACTATAAAATACTGCTTTCAGGACTGAACCTATACTTTGGAATGTATTGGATTATAAAGGATACATATAAAGACCAGAAAACTGGAGGAAACTTTGATCTACTCTTACTGAGACTGGTGATACTAGAGGATCTCCAGGAATGATGCCTCAAGAAAAAATGAAGCTCAACTTTTGATAGTATTACAGAACTGAAAAAGATTCCGTGGTTTTTCCCTTTTGTCAGGAAAGTTTGGGCAGATGATTATTGCTGTTCCCTCCAATTGTTCAGCTGCCTTTGCCTTGTGGAGGTTGTATTTGCTGAGCAGCCTGATTTTTTTCATGATGCCATGGGAAGCACTGGATAGACTCATCCAAATAGTGTAAAAGATGTTTTTTTAAATAGAATATTCTGTCTACACCTGTCACCTAACTCTCTCAATGAGTATCATAGGTGGAAGAATGGATGGTGAAGTTAATGGAGTCGGTGGAGATGGTGAAACTGACTGCTTTGATTGAAGAAAAGACCTTCATGGCCACTCCACTAAGTGCTAGTCTGTATGTAAAGAATAGACATAAAGTAATGCTACAGTATAAGCTGTCTTCGGTCTACCTTCACTATCAAGCATGCAGTCAGTAGATATGAAATTGATAGGCCAGGCCTGTTACCAAGCGATGAGGGGAACAACATGGCTTAAGTCCAAAACAAGTAGGAAGTACCGTATGTAGAAGTGTCAATTATTTCAAAAAATTGTGGGGTTCCTTAGGATTTGGTTTTTCATTTCTCCTCTACATGAGGCTTCTGGGGAAGATCATCTATTGGTGTGGGGTCATGTATGAATAGTATGTGGATGACAACGTGTTGTACATCCTGACTCCTAGCTGACTGACCAGTGCAGCCAAGGTCTTCTCTCAGTTCCTGGAGGTTGTTGGAGCCTGGATGAAGAGGAATAGGCTTAGACTCAACTTTAGCAAAACCAAGTGGTTGTGGTGTGCTTGGTCCTCCCAGATTTAAGGATTTTCCTCCATGGTCCTGAACAGGGTTGCATTGCCCGACTCAGGATTGGTGCAAACTCTGGGGATGCTCCTGGATTTTCCACAGGTTTAATTTGTTTATTATTTGTACTTGTTCTTGGATTGAGAGGCCCTCCTCATAGTCAATCATTTCTGGGTCACCTTGCAAGAGGTGCCTTTATTGCTGCCCTTGGAGACACTTGTAGCCCTCAGAAGCTACAGTTGCTCTGGAATGTGGTGGCAGAAGCAGTGATGCACAAGCCTTCCTGTGCCCATATAATACCTCTGCACTGTGAATGATCCTGATTGTTAGTTTTAGATAAATTTCAAGCTGCTGAGTTGCTAAATCTCTATATGGCCTAGGACATAACTATTAGAAGATGCATCTCTCAAAGTGCTTGCCCATCTTATGTGCTCCTCTGTGGAAGTTGGCTTGATTTGGGTTCCGTCAATTAAGCAGCGTCATCCCAGGAGGTAGGGCCTCTCTGTTGCTATAATTTCCTTTTGGAACAGCATAGTTTGGAAATTTGCATGGTCTTCATTTTCTAACCTGGCTTGTTCCACGATCTTGGGTTAGGATAGTTGGATGGGCCCTTTTAAATAGTGGTGGGTATGGTGTGGGAGGGTAGTATGTTACTCCCTTTTAGACAATGATTTTTATATATAAAATGCTATTTCTTTTAACTTTATGACCATCTTTAACCTATAGTTGGATGGTCATGGAACTAAAGAAAGAAAGACAGATGAAATATTTGGAGGGGCGTTGGAAATATTTGCAAGCTTCCAAGGACTATGTTTAAAAAGTAATTCAAAATCCTGAGTCAAAAAGCATCACTTGATTTCAAGTATTAAATGCAGAATACCCCTATTCCTCTGCATGGTAAACACTGGTTTCACAGTGGTAAATTTCTATACTTCAGAAGAAATTTAAAAAAAACAACAACTTGGCATTCTTAATTAAACCTATTTTCTTGGTAATATAAGGTGAGATGTATTATGTCACTATGGAGATTAATATGC